TAACAAAAACATGTTTTATTATCACCAGGGAGGGTAATGATGTTTATATTTAAAACATATCATGACTGTAAGTATAAGTAACTAAGAAGCCAGTTAGTCAACTTATACACATTGTTCAAATAGCATAAACACAAAAATAATATTCAGTAAAGACTTGAGTCATCACAATATTTAACATTCACCTACCATACTCACTGAACAGTAAACTTATATGATGATGATTATATTTGGTGAATATAATAATAATAATAAAAGATCTCATGTTTACAATCATTCCAACTCTATAAAACCATTGTATATCTACTAAAAATTAAAAACAGTGTAATTTTAAACAAAGAACCAAACATCAACAACATACATTTATTAAGCCTTAAGCAATCTCCAATCATGTGACTTCTTTATTTCATACTGTATATATATATATATACACACACATACATATTCCTGTGTCAAGGTAAACTATTTATACCTGATCATAACAAAACCTTATCCAAACATCTTGTTACTGTGTTAAACTCATAATAAAATTTTGTCTGTTTATCACAGGGGTAGGAGTACAGCAAGTAGCCAAGACTGAAAATGTAAGTAGCCAAGAGGACTAAGTCAAAAACTAACTACAAAAGGCTTATTCTCTTTCTCACTCTGTTGATAATGCTTTCATGCTTCTTTTTTTTTTGGTAATGCTGAACAATATTTATTGTCAGTTAGCAACAAAACTATCATCTCATTGTTCATAGGCCAATTATGGTGTTTATGTTGAATGCTCAATATTCATGTTGATTTATTAGAAAGGTTTGATGTTTATTCTTTATTTTTTTAATAATCTCGGTGATATAACAGCAAAATAGTTTAATTTAGAAGTTTTATGACATTGAGTTGTAGCCAAAAGCAAAATCGAATTTACCAAGTAGTGTTTCAGCTAAGCCTTACGTTACATTTACGTATTAGGCCTAATACTTAAATTGGACTACAAATAGGCCTTCTGTTACTAATCTTATAGAGTCATTGTTTAAAGTTTTAAGTGGTGAATAAATGTTAATTAATAAATATTCTTTTGGTATTTTAACACATATATTACTTACTTGACCTTAAAATATAAAAGACAAATAAACATTTATTAATACCAAATATCTTTTATCCTTTGTAAAATCGAAAGAGTTGAAAATTTGTGTCAGTGTTTAAAAAAGTTTTAAGTGGTGAATATATGTTAAGTAATAAATAATATTTTGGTATTTTAACACATATACTATCTACTTGGTCTTAAAACATAAAGAAAAATAAATGTTTATTACAACAAAATACCTTTTATCTTTTGTACAGTCGAAAAAGAGTTAAAAATTTGTGTCTGAATGTCTGCACTAAATTTTCTACTTCCTGACCTAGAATACTGATAAAGCTCAAGAGTACTATTTAAGTCTCTTTCAGAGTGCACACATACTTTTGTTCACAATAACATTTCATTTTACTGAGTAGTTTATACTAAAAATGTGGTGATAAAAGAATTAAATGAGTGAAGAGTAGGTGCCTCCAATTAGTATATATATATATATATATATAACTTTATTCAAGTAATTATTCTAAATACATGTACCAGTGTTATGCACATAGTTATGACAATCATTAACTAGATGTTGAAAGGCAATACACGTATTAATCCTGATAAGTATTGGTACAGAATAAATACAGAAATGGCTAGAAGCTTTTATCACTATGGACTTGCATATATATCCACTCTCTTGGAGGGAAGGGGTGAGGTAAGTCCATCTCAAGGAACAACACTGATATGTGTAAAGATTAGAATAAGTTGGGGGATTCCTCTCCTGTATATGTTGTTTGGAACAGTCAGCTACCACACTTAAACCTTTTATCTGATTTCAAAGTGCAGTATATCATAATTCTTGTCGTCCTTGTCCTGTACAGACATATTTAGTAAAATCTCTATCCATCCAAATAGCCAGAAAATATCACAATGGAATGTGATAAGCTAGCCAGTTTGATGATGGGCACAGTTTATTCACTGCTTACTTGTGTTTCTTTGCTGTATACGGTCCATTTTTGAAATTATCCTCAGCAGTACATTTTCAGATTCTAAATTTTGATGGAAACATTTTTAACTATTACAGGTATCAGTCTACCCACCACATGGTAAGATTTTTTTTTTGTCCAGTCGGGTAGCTTAAGAAATAACAAATGCTTCACAATACCCCAGAATAATACCAAAAGTAATCCCAATGACATTAATATACACAAATAGAACTTGCTCTAATATTAAGCAAACTTAAAACAACATGAAACAATTTCAAACTTTATTAATGAATATTAAAACATAACATAAATGAAATTGAAGCTTTTCATGGAAGAAACTTAACTACAAACTTTTATTATAGTATCCTACAAATATCCCAATTTAACTTAATTTTTTTTCAAAAATAAATTCTAATTCTAGTTGAATAATAAAAATATTACACAATAATAAAATTTATCAGATTTATAAACTATATTAAAAGAATGCTGTAACAAAAATAAAAAATAAGCTACTTCAAATGATAACCACTATTTAGCTATCACTTCTACTTGTAATCATATCAAACTATAGTTCAAAACGTCTCAATTAAGATCAAAAAATCATTATGAGTCAGGCTTTCTTAAGTGTCCACTTTGATGTCACCAGTGTTCTGGGGCAAATTTCTCTGAATGTGTAGCTTACACAAACATATAATAATTTCTAAATGATAGATGATGGACAGAGCTTTCTAAACATATATAATATGTTGAGTTTGTGTTAAGATTT